CGACATGTATACTCTAATACACAATTTACTTAATATATTAAGATGAATATGATTTATTGGAATATTTTTTAAATAGGATGCAAGTGTAATATTTCTTATATCAACATAATCCAGTCATTTTAAATAGAAATATATAACTAAAAGTCGTTAATACAACACTTACTTTACTTAATTAAAGATCAGTTTTAGTATGGGGTCGAGAAAGTATCACTTTATTTTTTTTTAGGAATCAATTTAAAAAAAGAGTTATACATTTTTATTAAATAAAAAGATATATAAAAGTATATATGAAAAAAAAAACTTATATATCTCTTATTGAAAAGAAAAATAGTTAGTTGGAATCAATTAATTTGAACTTCTCTCTTATTTTTAAAACAAAATATTTTCAGAAAATTAAATTGAATTTTTTTCTTCATCAGGCAGTCTTGGTTTGGACATAATATTTTTAATTAAAATCAAACTAATTTTTTAAGGAATCGATTCGCTTAATATGAACTTGGTTAGACAAACTTTTTCTACTAAATTCTAACACATCCACGTTTCATAAATTCAGATTATATAATTAAATCAAAAGAATTATGTGCTAAATTGATCTATCTACTCGGTAACAAATAATTAGAAATTGTTTAATATTTTGGTACTTTTCTTCCCTGTCGAAAATCTGAAGATGAAAAATAATCGATGAAAGGTGTGAAATGAAATAATATGATAAACTTGACAAGTACTTGAAGGCTTCAACTACTCCAACTAACACATTTCAATTCAATGGACCGCAACGTTATCCATCTTCCAATACTCCACTCAGTCATCATGCAATATTTAATATCAACGTCTATCTAACTATGTGAGGCTCGTTCTTCAATATATACACATTATATCTTATACATTATGTCCATTTTAAATACAGTTTTGTTTTTTTGTTCTCTATGGTCAACTCCATATATACGTAAAAAAAGAATAAAAAACAATTTCTCAAAAGTATTTATTTAAGAAATGAATAAATAGTTAAATTAATGTTTAAAGTCATATGTTGCTCTCAATTTAGTTTTTATTGATTCTATTGAAACTAAAAAATTGTTTCTAAAAATATAATTCATTACTCATATGTAAGTCCTCTCGTTAAATAAGATTCATTTTTTAAACAAAAGTTATATGTAGCATGATAATGTTATATGATATGCACACAATATATATATAGAGAAAGAGTGAAATATGTTATGTAAATGTGTCACGTGGTGTATATATATCACGTGACATATGACTATAATATCATATCATTTTAATCTTTAAAGTTGTAATCGTATCAATTTAGTTCCTGAAATTACAATTCAATGTTACTTTAGTTCATAAAATTATAACTCAATGTTACTTTAATTTCAACTCGACATTATTTAGTGCTCAAATACTATTATAATTTTATTTTAAACAAATAATTATAACTTGAATATTTTCACAATAAAATAGATAATTAAATTAATACTATAATTAAATAGGTGATAAATATATTCAAATCATATTAAAATTTTGGTATTTAATATTAGTACAAACTCTTACATATAAAACTCGAACCACTGAAAACAGTTTTAGGAATTTTTTTTTCGATGATAATATTTTCATTAATTATTTTAATTTTATATTTAATTTGGTTTTTATTTAAAATAAATATCTATGAGGCAAATTTTAATATTTTAAAATAAATTATCATTAAATAAAATAATATTATGTTACAATATAATTTATTTATCATATATAAAGCTTAAAAATAATTTATATTTAAACAATAATTATTTATTCAATTTTTATATATAATTTATATATTCAAACATAATATTTATTTATACACATAAATTATTTAAAATTTTAGTTGTACATAATAAACATTTAACTTTTATATATATATATATATATATATTTTGCAGATGCTAAAATACAAGTTTTTTTTTATAAATATGTTATATCTTTTTTTCTTATTATCAATTTCTTCCCTTTTATCCATTTCATTTTTTAAAAAATATATAAATAAAAATAGTTTCTAATTTCTCTATATTTATATTTTACTTTCATAATTAATTCTCTTATATAAATTAATATTATTTCTACAAATATTAATATACTTAACAACATATTTTAAAAGTGGTGCATATTGCATAATATTTATTCTCATTTTGAATTTTTTCTATTATTTTTTTAGTTTGATAGTCATTTAATACTTTCTTAGTTCAATTTAATCATATCTATCACCGTATTTACAACATTAACTGAATTATCTATTTTATTGTGTAAATACTCTAGTGGTAATTATCTCATTAAAATAAAATGATAACATTTGGAGACTAAAGTAACGTCATGTTAAAATTCTAGAGACTAAAATGATATTTAGTTACATTTTCAAGGACTAAAATGACATTGAAATACAATTTTAGGGACTAAATTGATATTGTGTTATAGTTTTAAGGATTAAAATGATATTGTATTATAATCATATGTCACGTGGTACACCCACATCACATGTGTCACTCCGCATATGTACCATGTGTATGACACATGATATTATCATACCACATGCATTTTTGTTTAAGAAAACATATCTTATTTAATGGAGGAACTCAAATGAGTAGTGAATTACATTTTTAGAAACTTTTTTTTTTTTTGTGTTTCATTAGAATAAAAACTATATTAAGAATGACATACAATTTTGAGGTCTAATTTAATAATTTATTTTGTACAAACTCTCCAAAAAATTAATAAAATAATTATTTTTCTAAATAGTTTAATGATTATACACGGTTAGTGTAAAATACTTTTACATAGTCAATTAATTAGAAATTATTAGTATGATTTTTAAGGTAATTAATGTAAAACTCACTAAGTTACAATATATTTTGTAATTGAATGACCATGTAAAATTATTTTATATTATTAGTATATAATTTTTTTTTCTCTTGCTAAAATATATTAAACTAAATATACACCTAATAAAGAAAACTATAAACCAAAAAAGTAGAAATTGGAAATTTATTTTAGTTAATTTTTTTATTGGTAAAAAAAATTACAATCACCACAAATAAGTTTAAACTTAAGTTTTCGTGCAATTATCTCAATCGATCGATATTTAATGCATGTTATGAAAGAGTAAAATTTTTCAGTTGTTAGAAATATATATATATATATATATATAGATATTAAAAAACTCCTATTTATGGGTAGGCAAATTTCATCACAAACCAAGTTCTTCCGAAAGATTTGAAATTAAGTACTCAAAATTAAAATAGGTTACTCTCTTCCATCAAATTTTATTTACATACGGAAAAACGATTTAAACTTGATCATCACCACTCAGAGTCTCAGACTGATCACCCTTATTGCCAAATTATTAGTTAAAACATATAAAATATTTATAAATAAATTACCCTATCACAATTGTGTAACTTTACACCCATATTAAATAATAATTTAAATGTTTATGGTTAGATATTTTTACTTAATTATAAGTATTTTAAAACTTATTAAATATGATAAAAAAATATTATTATTTTTAAAGATAAGAAAGACTAAAAAAAATCATCATAATGAAAATCTAATCTAAACATATATGCTTCTGGAAATCTAATCTAGATATATATGCTTCTACTACCACTACTCCAACCCTTTCCTCAGCTTCTATAAAAATTTGATATCTAAAAGATTATCAATGGGGTCAAATTATTAATCTTCATGTATCTCACGCGTCACATTTTCAGATCATATTGCATGTGTTAATTAATTTGAGTTTTGACAAAAAGAAAAGGCAGAGGAGGAACCACCAACTGTTTTGTGCCGAAACCGACCAACCCAAAATGGAACACAATAAAGATTTGGCTGGTCATCCAACATGAACAACTTTATAATTGAGCACTATGTAGCCTTATATATGCTACTCTGGTCATCAAAATAAAGCAACCAACCTCAACCACATTTGACTTTTGATCAAATTTTCTTTTAATCACAGGAATTCAAGTTAATACTAAAGAATTTTATACAATCCATGCAAAGAACTCAATTAACTCAATTAGACGGCATTGATAATTAACATATATATCATAAGTGTTGCTTAAACTTATTTTAATTTCCTTTTAAATATTTTAATAAAAACTTTTGAAAGTTAAATTATTAATTTTCGTTGAAGAAAAAGTTAAGGAACCATGTTTATATTTATGTATATGTTTGGAAATTATTATTTTTAAAATATTCAGTTTTAAAAAATTACAAATTTTAAAATTAAACTAAATCAAAACACGTGTTAAATTTTGTGTTTGACATGTGTCAAGATGACTATTTAAAGTAAGTTATAATTTAAAAGAAAAAAATTAATATGAATGACTACAACAACGACTATTAGAATAATGACAACAAATTAATTTGATCTTTTATATATATTTATAAAAATCCTTTCTCTGATATCCATGCAGGTCAACGCCATTTTTTTTTTGTTGCTAATTGTTAAATTTAAGCCCTCAAAGAGCATCAACCACCATAGAGTAATAATCCGTAAATGTGGATTAGCTGATCCGTCATTGAAGAATGATATGCGTAGGGCTAATTAATTAGAAAGCATTTGTTTGTTTCTATCCCACAAAAATTATGCATTAATTACATTCCTGCGGTGTAACGAGTATTGTATGGCTTAGATGTGCAAGTTAATTGCCACATGTGATCATACATTGTATATACTCAATCCGGATTATAATATATATTTTTTTAATGTTTTACACGTTATAAATAATATTAATGACATTTTCTCATATTAAATATTTTTTAAGAGTGTGTAAAAACTTTTGAACATAAAAATGATGGTCTTTTATCTATTATATGCATAATCCATAGTATTACAGTAGCGTCTTAAACCGTGGAGTTGTTGAACCGTGTAAGCAGTTGATAATCCTGGATAACATAATTGCAGTGGGGTCCACCGTATTAACCATCCCCAACCAACCATTATAAATTCAGCATTTCAGAAACAACATTTAAAACCCACCGTTTCCCTCACTCTCCCTTCTTGCGCTCTCTGCAGCAAACAGCACTCGCACCTGTCACGCGCAAAATGTCAACGCCGAAGCTCCGAAGCAAATTTCCGCCGATAACAGAATGCAACGGAACGACGTCGTCGCGCCACTCCATCGCCGCCGACCTCGACGGCACGCTCCTCATCTCCCGGAGCTCCTTCCCCTACTTCATGCTCGTCGCCGTCGAGGCCGGCAGCCTCCTCCGCGGCCTCATCCTCCTCCTCTCCGTTCCCTTCGTCATCGTCGCCTACCTCTTCGTCTCCGAAGCCCTCGGCATCCAGATCCTCATCTTCATCTCCTTCTCCGGCCTCAAGATCCGCGACATTGAGCTCGTCTCACGCGCCGTCCTCCCTAGGTAACCTACTCTCTCACTCTCGCTCTCTCTCCTTCTGCTTGTGCGGAGTTACGCTGCGTTATGAGCGCGTGCGTGTCTGTGACTAGGTTTTATGCTGCGGACGTGAGGAAGGAGAGCTTCGAGGCGTTCGACCGCTGCAAGAGGAAGGTTGTTATCACGGCGAACCCGACGCTGATGGTGGAGCCGTTCGTGAAGGACTATCTCGGCGGAGACAAGGTTCTAGGAACGGAGATCGAGGTGAATCCGAGGACGAAGAAGGCCACGGGTTTCGTGAAGAAGCCTGGCGTGCTCGTTGGAAAGTTGAAGCGTCTCGCCATTTTGAAGGAGTTCGGTGAGGAGTCGCCGGATATCGGAATCGGAGATCGTTCGTCGGATCATGATTTCATGTCCATTTGCAAGGTTTGCCTTCTACTCATTATTGCTAATATTATTACCCATTTACCACTATTTTTCAACGAATGAATTTTAATTATTTTATATATTGGTTAATTACATTTTGATGATTTCTAGAAAAGATTGTGTGTTGATTAGTAGTTGATATTATGATTAACTGGCGAAGACTTTAGTTTCTGATAATATGCTACTGTCCGCTAAAAAGCTTCAGTGCAGATGTGAGAATTTTAGTGTACAAATCTCCACCAATTATAAATTGTGCAAAGATAACAAGATTTTTAGGTTTGGATAGTTTTTATGAAGTTATAGTATTACTTAAATTGGTTTACTAATGCTTTCAAAAAATTGGTGTACTAATAAATTCTGAAATATTAAAGAAAAATAAAAGTGATATGCAAATTGTGTGTGTATTTCTTAATATTATATATAGTGCTAAATAAAAAATGATATATTCGAAATATATATGCAATGTTTTTTTTATTAGTAAATGAGATTAATAAGAAATTATTATATTATAAGAGGATATAAAACATGAAAACATTCAATTTTAAATTCTTCAACATTGTTTTTCTATTATTTTTCTTTTTATTAAATACGAAAATATGGAACGATTTTCTATATTCCAAATCTATTAAATATACATAATACTGTACATGTAATTTCTTTTATACAGTATTGAATAATTAAGAGAATGATGTTATATTGAATATGAAATTATTTTTCTTTTTTAACCTTTTTATTTTTTTTATTTTTTAAGAAAGTTGGTAATGTAAAACTAAGTAAGGCCAATTTTCTTGAGTAGCTTTTATGGAACAGTTAAAAGCTAATATACTGTTTTTTTACTTGATTGAAATTTTGTAGCTCTATGGAACAGTTGAAAAGCTAATATACTGTTTTTTTACTTGGTTGAAATTGAATGAAACTAATGTTTTTCTTATGGGTCTTATCTCATTACCCTTTTCTTAATAAGAAAGAAATCTTCCATCTCATGACATATACCACCATTTATTAGTATTTAATTTGAATATTTTAATGGACTTATAATCATATTTTCAATAGTTATTTTTATAAAAAATATTTATTTTGTCGTTATAATTATGTAATTAATATTCTATCCATTTTTTTTTCATAGTCGTTTAAGGTTTTGCACGGGACTTAAGAAAATCATTGATATTTTAGTTTTCAAAAATATTTATTACTTACTTTCCTATTTTATCCTTTATTTATTTTTTTGTATTTTTTAGACTGTTGAACTACTCCATTAAATAATTGTTCCTTTTTTTTGTTTTTTTATAATATTTTGTTGGGAACATATTACTCTTATAAATGCACATTAACTTTATATGAGTAGTTAGAAAAAAATTAGGTAGACATTAAAAATAAATACACACGTTATGCAGGAAAAATATATTAATTATCAAGGTAAAAATGGAAGAAAAAAATTAATAACTCATTGATTTTAGTAATATGACAATGAAAAAAAAAAACTCTGACAAAATTGACTATGAAAAAAATGGAGGGAGTATTTTTTTAAAAAGGTACATATTATTCTATCGTTATAATTATGTGGATTAGTTGATCGATCATTGAAGAATGAAGAATGATATACGTAGGATCATTACTTAGAAAACATTTGTTTGTTTTATTTATATCACACGCGAATTGTGCATTAATTACGTACCTGCTGTGTAATGGATGGCTTAGTTGCGCAAGTTAATTACGACACGTGATCAAGCATGCATATACTAGTTATTCTACTTTAGTCATATAATTTGGTTTCCGTATAATTTGGTTTCCGTAGTATACAACATAATTGAATTGGCGAATATTTGTGACCTTTTCTTCTACTTTTTGTGGAGAAAAGCCCAATGAGTAATGACCTCTTTTATTCATGAACACTTTTAATAGATGATAATTAGATTGGATTACTGAAGAAGATTATGCGGAGTCCTTCATCTTTATCCTTTATTTGGATTTATGTGCATAAAATATGGAGTGGGTTTAATATGGAACCGTATAGGCGGTTGGTAGTCCTGGTGAGGTGACAATGACAATGTGTTAGGAATTAGAATCAATGGCGTGTTCGTGGGGCATGAGGCAGCTACGGCCTACGGTTGAGTGTAAATGCATGTCATTTCATTTTCTTTATATTTATTTTACTTTTTTTCCCATCTAGAAATTTTAGTCCAGAAACCAGTGGGACCCACCGTATTAACCATCCCCAACCAACTGCATGGTGCATGCCATCATATACTTTTTGTGGTCCAATCACACTTCACAGTGTTCACACCACGAGGCAGGGTTTAATGCAGTCATGATCCATTCATACTTCTTAAGAAGTATGAAGCTGCTACCTAAATTTTTCGGCTCAATTAATGCACTCACTCACTGCCCACAAACTACTGCGTGCTTAGCATATACTCGTATGAAATTGACCCAAAGAAGGATAAGATTCTCGGTTTCTACCAAAAAGAAAGTAACCATTTCTCCCCCAATATGTAAAGGTAGACGAGGAATAAGTGAACGTCAATTTTGTTAATCCAAATCTGGGTTCACCTATTAGTCAGGCAATCTTGCGCCACACTCGCACTATTCATAATATCATATCACATGACTTACAGCATCACATCACTATAAGTTTTGCTTAATTATTGAGTTACCTTTTAACATAATTTTCTGTATAAAGATGATTTTTAAACACCCATGAGAAAAAGAAAATTTATGTAAAGTAGATTATATGTTTCGATAGAAAGAGAGATAGAGTGAAAAAATAACCGTAGATGAGGTGCATCAAATCAGAACATTGTGTATACTATCTGTGTTAATCACATTTTTATTAAATTAATCCTTTTATTTTATATTTTAAGTCATTTTTTACATAATTAATTAATTAGAAATCTTCAAGTATAACAACTTTATAGACTTTATCGTAATTGCTTTGAAAGTTAATTTTATTATAATTTTTCATCGGTTGATAATATAAAAAAGAAAAATAAAATTAATCTCTTCTTTTATCTATTTATTTCTTTCTACACAAGTTCTCTTAAAAAACATACCCAATTCAGTTGATATATATTTCGTTTAAATCAACCAGTGTTTTATATTCTCTTCAATCGCAATTCCACTTTACTTTTATTACCATTGACACATGATGCAAATGGGGATCTAACAAGAATGAACGATGATGAATATAACAGGAGGGTTACATGGTGCCACCGAGCAAAACAGCGCAACCAGTGCCACAGGAGCGTCTAAAGAGCAGACTCATCTTCCACGACGGTCGTTTCGTGCAGAAGCCAGACCCACTGAACGCCCTGATCACCTACCTATGGCTCCCCTTCGGCTTCATCCTCTCCATCATAAGGGTCTACTTCAACCTCCCCCTCCCCGAGCGCATCGTGCGCTACACCTACGAAATGCTGGGGATCAAGCTCGTCATCCGCGGCCATCGCCCTCCGCCGCCATCCCCGGGCACCCCAGGCAACCTCTACGTCTGCAACCACCGCACCGCCCTGGACCCCATCATCATCGCCATCGCCCTCGGCCGCAAGGTCTCCTGCGTCACCTACAGCGTCAGCAAGCTCTCCCGCTTCCTCTCCCCCATCCCCGCCGTGGCCCTCACCCGCGACCGCGCCGCCGACGCCGCCCGCATCAAGGAGCTCCTCCAGCGCGGCGACCTCGTGGTGTGCCCGGAGGGCACCACGTGCCGCGAGCCCTTCCTCCTCCGCTTCAGCGCCCTCTTCGCTGAGCTCAGCGACCGGATCGTGCCCGTGGCCATGGACTGCAAGCAGAACATGTTCTACGGCACCACCGTTCGCGGGATCAAGTTCTGGGATCCTTACTACTTCTTCATGAACCCCAGGCCCGTTTACGAGGTGACCTTCCTGGACCCGTTGCCGGAGGAGATGTCGTGCAAGGCCGGGGGGAAGACGTCGATCGAGGTGGCGAATCACGTGCAGAAGGTGTTGGGGGATGTGTTGGGGTTCGAGTGTACCGGGTTGACTAGGAAGGATAAGTATATGTTGCTGGGAGGCAACGATGGGAAGGTGGAGTCTCTCTATGGTACCAAGAAGTAATGAGATAATTATGGGCATTCAGTTAATTGATACAGAAAAAGGTAATTAGCAAGCAAGCAAATAGCAATTGGTATTATTTTTGGTGGGGTTTTGTTATGATAATGCTCTAAGTGTTTCCAATGCTGTGCTCAATCTTTCTTTATGTCACTTGGGTTTTGGGACCCTCTAAATAAGGGAAATGTTTTTAGATAGATTCTTGAAATGACAAATGATTTCAAATAGTGGAAATATTTTATTCAAACTCATCAGATTAAAAGTCTCCATCTTTTGCCTTCATCCTGGTTATTTATTAATTGCAAATGTATACATATATATAAGCTAATATTAACTGTGGAATAGATGTTATATATTAGGATTCTCTAGTCAAGTAATTAAGATGCTTTAAAAGTATAAATTTCAAGCTGGGGCAATTCATGAAAATACAATAATTTTCTTAGATTATAAATTAGATAGAGACGTGAATGGAATAAAACCATAAAAGGATTTGAATTATTGTTATAAGCAAGAAAAAAAATATGGCCTATATGAAAATAAAAATTAAAAGTAGTTATCATGTATTCTATTTATATAATATAATGGTATGGAGATATAGATGAATTTTGTTTTTCAATCTTAGAAATGAATATTACTTAATTGTATATTTTGATCTTGACTATTTTTCACAGTATATTGCTTAAATATTTGAACGAATCATTTGGCATTTCTCACCCCACAAAATATCATATTTAGTTTTGGTATTCACAATTTTTTAACACTTTTTGCGTACTTATTTAGTAAAACCAAATATATATTCTTTAACAATTTCACTGTTATAGCCTTTGAAACTGTAGAATTAATGAATGGAAACAATTAATGCATATGAATGGAAAAAAAATTGTGCACTAAAATTTGGGTATAAATCACAACCTATTTTGATATATTTTACATATATATATATATATATATATATATATATATATATATATATTGTAGTAACCAAATTTCGTCCCGTCCGAGAAATATCAATTTTTGTTAAAAAAAATAGCAAAAAAGGTATATTTAAAAAAGAATAAAAAAGATAAAAATATAGAAGCTAAATGTAACACCTCTTTTTTTTATATTTTTATGGAGGGTAATTTAGTAATTTTCATATGATTAAGTAGTCAGGAACAGGCCGTTCCAACCTTTCAAAAAACCTATAATTTCTAGTCCGGAATGGGCTGTTCCAAAAATGGAACGGACCGTTCCAACCTTCCAAAAATAACTATAAATTCTAGCCCGGAACGGGCCGTTCCCAAACTGGAACGGGCCGTTCCAACCTTCCAAAAAGATCTAAAATTTCTAGCCCGGAACGGGCCGTTCCCAAACTGGAATGGGTCGTTCCAGCCTTCCAAAAAGACTTATAAATTCTAGCTCAGAACGGGCTGTTCCTAAAAACTAGAACGGGCCGTTCCAACCTTCAAAAAAGACCTATAATTTTTAGCCCAGAACGGGCCGTTCCCAAACGACCAAAATACCTATAAATTTTATCTCAGAACTGGCCATTCCGAAACTGGAACGGGCCGTTCTAAAAATGGCCGCTGTGAGTAAAATTGCATCCCCGGAACAGGCCGTTCCGGATTCAGAACGGGCCGTTCCGGTCCCTCCTGAAAGTCTATAAATAGCGGCCATTCCCCTTCCCAAAGGGCACCCACACACACACATCTCCACCTTGGACCAGAGGGAGCTTAGAAGGAGAAACCAACAAGTTATCACTTCTTGAGCGAAGAATAGTGAGTATATCGAACTCACTTTCTTTTTATTTATTTATTTTATTTTATTTATTTATTTTTATTTTATTTTATTTTATATTTTTTTAATTTTTTTATTAGTAATATCTGTTATTTTAAAAAAGTTTATTTATCATCTTAAAGTCTTATTTAAATTCAAAACGTGATTAAATATCAAAATATAGTGTTATAATATTTAATGTAAATATCTGAAATTATTGTATTAAAAATTTTATTGGAGAAATGGTTAACTAGATGTGACATCTTTTTAACCTTTGAATTTACAGCTTATCTTTAAATTTTTTCTCCAAAAACGAAAATGTCCAATTAATAAATTTTTTAATATCATAACATCTCTAGCAATAATTATAATTAAAATTTTATTGAATTGACTTTGGTGTACACCTTAGTCAATTTTATATTTTTAGGGTGAATGAGCTGAGACAGTTCAAGAATCCTATATTTAACAAAAAATAAAATTTAATTAAAAAATATCAACACACAAACATTTTCTACAAAGAACTACGTGACTCTGATTCTTCATTACACATGAAGATACGTAGGAGCAAGAACTAAATCTTGTCGAGCCAAAAAATAAAAAATATATTATTTTCCTTTTTATATAACAATAATAATTTTAAATTTTTTTAATGCATTAGTTAAATTAGTTAAATAAAATATATTTGATCATTTTAGTGAGATAAATATTTTATAAATTATAAATAATTAGTTTAATTAAATAAAGGTAATCGTCTTAGGAGGAACGTTGTGAGGTACTAATACATTCCTCACACGTAATCGACTCCCGAACTCAAAAATTTGGTTTTCGTAGATTATTTTCTACTTTATGGTTTTTCCAATGTTTTTTCCGTAAAAAATAACATTGGTGGCGACTCCTCTTTTTCAATTTATTTTTCGCCGTCCCGTCGCGACCGAGGTTGCTACATATATATAATACTATTAATTAAATAAAAATTATTATAACTATAATTTTTAAAAATTATTAGATGAGTTAAAAAGACATTATATATATTTTTATATTAATAATGTCTTTTAGTTAAATTATTGAAAAGTATATAACTCAAAAATAAAAATTGGCAGGTTAAAATTAGAATTTAAATAACAAAAATTAGACAAAATCTCTTTCACTCTCTTTGACAGCGAAATGACTAAGGATGACAAAAAAAAAAAAACTTAAGCACAGATATATCTAATTAAATGAGTACTTGCTTGCATATAAGGTGGGATGTATATGCATTTTCAACACAAATAGTTGAACGAGTATATGTATTTACACTTTAAAATTAATTATATATTTTTATTTATATTATGTATAAAACAAATTAATCTAATTTATTTTAATACAAATAAATTTAAATTTATTTATTTTTATTTAAAAAATTATACTTAAACAAATATTTATAAATATCCATAATAAGTATATATAAAATTCGTGAATACTTTCAGTGTGGATGATGGATTACTACTTGTCGGGTTGCCATTCCTAGAGAAATAATATTTATTAAACACCCAATATAATATATGCTTACTATACACCTAAAAAGGAAAATAAAATAAAATAAAAGGTGAAGTGATAAATTTAAAGGATATAGTTTATTTTTGGTAATTATACATGTAATATTTATTAATTTTATCAATGATTGATTGCTTCTTCTTCGACCGATTGTTTTTAGTTGATTTTTATTTTTTTTTTTGTTTTTACTCATAAAACTCAAATTTAAATTCTTGTTTAAAAATATCGAATCCAATTTTACAACTGTTCATCGATAAATAAGAAGTATTCGATGTGATCGGAGAAAATAGATATAAAAGAAATGCGACATGTGTAAAATATTTGGATATTAAATATCTCTAGCCTTCCTAGAAATGACAAAGGACTTCTGACGTTGTACAACAGCTGATGCAGAATATTCGAGGCATGAATATGAAAATACCATAATTTTCCAAAATTAATAATCACATTCATAATAATAATAATAATAATAATTTGAATATTTGCACTTTATTGTTATTATTATGAAGACAAAAAAGGGAAAGGGAAAACACACTGGGGTCACCTCGAACCGTTCAAGTGCAAGAGATCCACGTGGAGAGGAGAGAGGGGCATCTTAGCAATTTCCGTTAGTTAAAATTTTATGTACTCCGGATGACGTACCACGTGTCACGCTCTCAGCCCCCCTTTCTCTTTGGTTACATCGCCACTCGGATTTTATTTTCATTTTTTTTATTAAAAAAGAAAAAATGTAAAATAAAATAAGGGCGAAAATAGTTGACGGTTGGAAATAGGAATAGCGAGAGAGGTTCTGCGCCGTTGCATTTGCCTCTGCTTATCCTCTGAGACGAAGCAGAGCAAAGCAAGACACGACGTCGTCACGCAATTCCCACTTCGTCTCTCTCATGTTCTAAGTTCTAACCGTAACAAACCTTATCTCTCTCTCTCTCTTTACAGCTTCACCAATGACTATGAGTGGCTTAATTTCCAACCGCAACTTCGGTTCCTTCCTTGCCCCAGGTTCGCGCTCACTTATTCATTTTTTTCGCTGCTTACACGCATTTTCTGAATTCCTTCGTTCTTGTTGCTAGTTGTAGTTTCCTAGTCTTTTAATACGGTTCGAAATTTTCTAGTGCGTAGGTCTGAGGGGTGTGTTTTAGCGGAAATTATGTGCATTTGATTAAAATAGGTTTAGGTCGAACACTTAGGTTATACTACCTATAACACCTTTAATTTAGTTAAGAGTATTAAATTTTTAAATAATTTAAATTATTTTTCCAAAATTATCATTCTCTCTTTTCACTTATTCATTTTCTACTTAATTAATTAATGTATGAAAGGGAATTTTATATGTCTATTCATCTTCTCTCATCCTAATAAGAAAGAGTTTTATTTAATTAATTTTAAATTATTAATTAAATAATAATATTTTAGAGAATATATAATTAATGCAACTCACATAAGATGGTCTTAAAAAAAACACATAAGGGTTTTATGAGTAGTAGTTTTTGTTTTTCATGGACTAATATACTAATTTTGCTATTTATCGCTTTTTTTAATGTATATTTATATATTATTTGACACGACCGTGGCTTGTGGAACATAAAAAATGAGGATTTTGATTATATATATTTATATTTGTGGAATTTTTTAATTTGGATGTGCCAACATCATAAATAGATTTTATATTTTCATCTAATTATATGTCAGTGAGTATAGTAATTTTGTTGTTAATTTTTATAATAGTTACTTTAAAAGTTATATTAAGGAATATATCAGTTGATGATGTTAAAAGAATATGCTAATACGCATAACAATTAAACTAATTATTTTAGTTAAGTTGGATGTTTGTTTAGTTCTCTTGAGAGTTTTTAAGCTTGGATCATGTTGAAGATGGCTATTGTAAAGTATGAGGAAGTTTTAGCCATTGTTTGATATTGGCAGGAAATGGATATAGATCGGGGAAGGATATATCTATTTCTGGTGTAGCTGTTGCTAAGGATCCTTTTTCAAGATGGCAGCATAAGATGTATTTGCCTTTGGAAGAGAAAATGCGAACATCTCAAAACAGAGTGGAGCCTTGTTCTCTTGTATCCCACCAGTCCAGTCAGTGCTTGAATTTTAAACTAAGGGCTAGTGGAAGAAGTTGTTGTTCCTTCCTTTCTTCAGCTCCTTATGGCAGTAACAATGTTGAACAAAGGGAAGTTTATAGACTTGGTTTGAGCAAAAGAAAGCATGCACAAACTGAGGCTGGTAAAGCAAGTAAGTTCCGTGTTAATTACAAGTCTGAGGAGTATGACATTGCAGAAACAAAGATGAAACCACTGCAATCAGCTGAAGGGACTGGGGAAGCCATTCTTCTAGAAGGAAATCTGCAGCAAGTATCACCTTGGTGGCAGCAGTTTCCTAAGCGCTGGGTTGTTGTACTGCTGTGTTTTGCAGCATTTCTGCTGTGTAACATGGATCGAGTGAGTAACTTTTTTTTGGTATTTATGCTAACAACTATGATTTAGTTTATATATTCATGTTTTCCATGTTTTATATCATATTCCAGTCGGTATACTTCTTCCATCATATTCAATTGATTGTCACTGCGGGGATTTGTTAGAATATATAAAAACTAAATTTTCTTCAGATTGTCCTAATGTCCTCTAGAATTAGTTTCCGTATTTTCTCCTTCTCTCTTATGATTGGTTACTATATTTTCTTATCTTTTCATGATTTGTTTTCTTAATTAGTTAGAATTTGGAATCTAGGATTTGTCTAAATAAGGTTTAGGGCTCTAGGTTTTATGAACATATTGAAGAAACTTTCTTTTTGGCTTTTTTTTGGGATCTATGAACATATCAAACACATCAACAATGTCGGTGTCTAACGTTTGAAATTAAAAACTAAGGTGTTCCAGTTGATCACTTGTCCTAGTACCTTAGTTTGTTTCTTTTTTCTATCAATGAACTAAAATAGAAAACATTGTATTAATTTTGTATTTCTGTAGACAATGATGGTTGAAAAAAATATCTGTAGAAAATTGAGTTTCTGTATTTAAAATTCCACCTTTGTTTTGTAGAAGTTATTTATTTATTTTGACTATCTGTTTTTAGAAGTTGTTATTAAGCTTTATCCTATGATTTCAAGGATTAACTTTAAAATTTGATTATTTCTAAATTTCCATATTCTTACTAACGTAATGTTACTAATGTTCCTTGATATACTTTATATTTTTATTGTATTTTATAGGTAAATATGAGCATAGCAATACTTCCAATGTCACAAGAATTCAACTGGAACAGCGCAACAGTTGGCCTAATTCAGTCATCTTTTTTCTGGGGTTATCTACTTACTCAGGTGTGACTAAAATATACTAAAAATGTTGGCTTAACAAGAAATTGTTTTCATGTATTAATCTTCAAGTAAGCATTTTAGCACCCATGCTGGTTGAAAATGTCATAACATATCATTCTCTTTATAGTATATGAAACTAATCTAGCATGTTCTGGTCTTCAAACTATCTCTTCATTTCATCCAGTGTGCATAAAAAGTTTCTAATTACATTCCTTTCATATTGACCGAATGCTTTTTTGGTTTAGATCATTGGTGGCATATGGGCAGACAAACTTGGTGGGAAGGTAGTACTAGGTTTTGGAGTTGTCTGGTGGTCAATTGCAACAGTTTTAACACCTATTGCTGCAAGACTAGGGTTGCCATGTCTGCTTATTATGCGTGCCTTCATGGGAATTGGTGAGGTTGGTCCTTTCTATAACTTTACTACTTTTCTTTTCTTCATCTATCTGGTGTCTTCATCATATTGTCATTTGTCCATATTGTTTTTTTTTTGTTGCACCAAATAAATTGCCAGTTTTAACTAGGAATTTCAAGTATTAAAAAACGCTTCTATTCTCCTAGCCATTAAGCAAGAAGAAAAGCTTGGAAAACTAATCTGAGATCATAGTCAGTCCCACCCATAATGTCAACTCCTTCCTCTCCTAGTAGAAAGTGATGTAGAAAGATACATAGTTGAGATAAGATAGATAAACATTATAATCCATATTATTTGCCCCTCATTATGTTTGTCTTGATCAATAATACAATCAAATGAAATATATTTTCTCATTGGAGTGGTCAAGTCCATCCCTAGTATAAATTATTTTTCCTCCTTCAATTTGACAACAAATTATGCTGATTCTTTGTTTTCAGGGTGTTGCAATGCCTGCAATGAATAATATACTTTCCAAATGGATTCCAGTATCAGAGAGAAGCAGATCACTTGCGCTAGTATATAGTGGCATGTACCTTGGTTCTGTCACAGGCTTGGCATTCTCACCTCTGCTAATCCAGAAATTTGGGTGGCCATCAGTGTTTTACTCATTTGGATCCCTTGGAAGTATCTGGTTTGCTATATGGTTGAGTAAAGTAAGTCATCTTTAGTATAATTTCAATTAAATCTACTATATATATCTGTGTCTGATTGTAAAAATGTTTCGGGAGGAAACCAACCTTCCTACTTTTCCAACCTATGGAGAGTATATTTTCATGTTTTGGGCTGATTCTTTAGGGGACTGTCTCATCAAGTGTTGTATAACATATGACTTCATTGTTATGTTTCTGCAAGTAATAATCAATTATGTTTCTGCAAGTAACAGCTTAGCTTTTACCATCACATTTATAAATTACTAGTGGAGTCAAAGTATTTCGTGTCTGTATATTTATTTAAAAGTGTTTAAAAATTATCAAGATTGGTTGAATTAACTAGTGTTATGTCTAATTTTCAAACCTCAAGGTCTTGGATTTGTAAAAATAGTTAATTTTCTATATTATTTTTTATTATTTAAAAATTTAAAGGTAAAATAGTCCAAAAATTTTATACACAAAAACAGGGAATCAATTTTATATATAGGTATAGATAAATGTGAAGGGAACTTTGTGATTTCTGCTGAGCAACTTATTCTCATATCTTTTCCTTTATGCTGGGCCCTTCCAGGCATACAGCTCCCCAAAAGAAGACCCGGATCTTGGGGCAGAAGAGAAGAAGCTCATACTTGGAGGCAACGTATCAAAAGAACCTGTGTCAGTTATTCCTTGGAAATTAATTTTATCAAAAGCACCTGTTTGGGCTTTAATAATCTCTCACTTCTGCCACAATTGGGGGACATTTATTCTATTAACCTGGATGCCTACATACTATAATCAGGTGCTTACTGTTATTTATTTATTTATTTTCATAATTCACAAATGCCTCCTAACTTTTAAGAATATACATGTCCTTAACGATGCTATAATCAGGTCCTTAATATATCATATCTGTGAGCAAAAGAGGGAATACATTGCTTATTCACCATTTATAATTGGATTTTATTTATTTTAAAATCTGTAGATGGAATACGTCATATAATATTTTCACCTACGGAGGTGGGGAATACCCATCAAATTGTCCGCATAGTGCTTGTCTGCTTTGCATGGGACTCGTAGTATATGTACAATACATTGCCGCCCATTGTTTTATATCAACTTGCTCTTTAATTGGTTTCTTCATTGTGTCTAAAGATAAAAATGTTTCTTGGAACTTTTTGATGTTAAAGCACGTGTTACTATTTACTCTCAACATTGTTAAACTTATATTTATATTTATTGGTTATTAATCTAAACACAAATGAATTAAAGTTGCATCACTTTAACTGCTGATATTATCAGATTACGTCTAAAATCTGATTGTTATGTTGATCTATACCTGGAATGATTAGGTGATATAATAAAAAATAGAGAAATCGATAAAGAAAATTTGCATGAAATATTTTTTCCATTTAATGAATGAACTAACAGATCGTTTTCTCAGGTTCTGAAGTTCAATCTCACTGAATCTGGGCTATTTTGTGTCCTGCCGTGGTTAACCATGGCTGTTTTTGCAAATATAGGAGGCTGGATTGCAGATACACTTATTAGCAAAGGCCTTTCCATAACATCTGTCCGAAAGGTAAGAAAGTCACAGGGGCTCTTAATGAGGCTAATCCTGATTAATAAAATAAATTTCTTGTGTTGAATTTTTAAAAATCAAATAATAGTACAGGGACATTCATTTCAGTCCTTGGTTGAAACAAAATTTTGTTGTGAATTTTTTCAAGTACTTGTCCAAGATAATGAATAATATGCTGATTAAGTAAAGGCAATTGATACCTGGACTGATTCATTTTCCTTTTTCATCCTTTAAAATGATTTTGCTTTAAAAATTGCCTATTTTGACAGATTATGCAATCAATCGGGTTTCTGGGTCCTGCATTTTTTCTTACACAACTAAGCCATGTGAGAACACCCGCCATGGCAGTACTTTGCATGGCTTGCAGTCAGGTTTGAGCTAGATTGATATATATCTTCCCGAATAGATTCTTAAATTTTTGAATTAATTTTTATGCTGTTTAAGTTTCATTACTGAACCATAGATACCTATAAAACATGTTTCTGTAAGTTTTAAATTTATGCAAAGTTACCCAAGATAAACCATAATTTGTTAATTCCTTTCCAGGGATCTGATGCATTCTCACAATCTGGTCTATATTCCAATCACCAAGACATTGGACCACGCTATGCTGTGAGTTAATGCTATTTAAATTTTCACGTGATCAATAAACTGTCAAATATAGCTCAAGTGTGTTTTCACTTTTCATACATTTCCTTTATTTTTTTCTTGTGAAAAAAAGTTCATTGTAAAGACCAAGGGCTGTTGACAGTCTTCTTTGCTTGAGTTGTATTTGATGACAGTGACAGCTATTGCGAGCTGAACCTCAAAAAGATTTTTGGATTCTAATTAGCAGAACTGATGTCAAAATCATTCTACTTAAAAAATGCCGAGAAAAAGTGTCATTGAGTCAATCACTTCAACAATCTATTGCACCTCCATTTTGTTTCATGATTAATGTAGTCATTCGTAAGTACGATTAAATTGTTGATCATAAGTATCTTATACAAGTACCTTGTCGATTTATTTATGGAAGATGTCTCTAAATGCAAGAAATCCTGAGACAAATGTTTTTCATTACAAGTTTCTTCTCTTTGTTTTTTTCATTTAATGTTTCTATAGGAATGTTAACTATTTTAAATTTCAGGGAGTATTGCTGGGACTATCAAATACTGCAGGAGTGCTTGCTGGTGTCTTTGGTACAGCTGCAACTGGATACATACTCCAACGAGGTAACAATGCTCCGCTTGCATTCTAAAGTTTAAGTCTTTTTTTTTATGATTATTCACTTATAACATAAACGATCTTCTGACGGTTGTGCAGGTTCTTGGGATGATGTATTTAAGGTTGCTGTTGCATTGTACTTAATAGGCACATTGGTCTGGAATCTCTTTTCAACTGGAGAGAAAGTTCTTGACTGAAGAATGTACTGATGTCAATGAAGGTGTAGGCTATATATGCCCTAGAGATTAAAAGAAGAAAAAAAAGACGGAACAAAATCACCGACCAAAATTGTCAAGTAGTACTTGGAAGCACAAAAGCAGCCTGCAGAAATCGAAGAGAGCCACCATCAAAGTTTTTGATCAAATAGCCAGGCCATAACATTTTGTCTGGAAATCTTGGATTAACTTGGGACCTTTTGCAAATGCCCCGTCCCATGATCTAAATACTTTCTGTATAGATGGTGGATAGTTTCCACTTATATGACTTGAGCAGACTTATTCTTAAAATACATGTTATATGAACAACTCTGCTTCATCATATACTTTGCTAAGAAAATTGGTCACACAGTTCTCTTTCTGATTCGATGTCCCTAACAAAATCTACTTTTACTATTGGTTCAATTCGTGCATTTCAACTTCCATTGTCATAGGCAAGAATCCTAGAAATAGGATCTGAAATCACTGATGAATGTTAAAAAAAAAAGTGCAGATAAACTGTATAGCTAAATCTTACAGGTTGAGTTTACCACTACAAGTCTACCTCTCAAGCATCATCCATCATATGACAAGCATACCACTAGGAACATACCAACCAGGAGAGTCAAATCCGATCATTATACTTTCATAAAACGTAAGGCATTATTTTATGAACATCAACATTCAACATTGTGAAATGTGAGTTTAGCTCTCACGACCAGTAAAATTAAATAGAAATACCAAAATTCAAAACCAACAAGAAATAAAGAATACAATGAATATATGCAAGGATTCTACAAGGAAGGTGGATTGATAAAAAGCAATCATTCATCCCACGACCCCGGAAAAAGAATCCATCCACAATTATCATATAAATTATAAATACTCTGAACATACCCTTTTTTTAAAAGGGAAATTCTGTTCTCTTCTTCTATAAGCTAAATCCCCAATGTCTGAATTCTCATTTGAACCTGCCTCCACATGCCAAAACCTTCAATACCCTGTGCTCCTTCTGGTAATTAACACAACACTTAACTTACATCACTTCTAAAATCCACATCTATCTCCCTTTATTTTTGTATACTAGCGATAACTCCTCTTAAATCCCTCTCATGCACATTGACCTTGAGACCATTTTTCATGAACAGCGTGAGTGACATCTTTTGCTCCACCTGGTGGCCGGGCACCAGCACAAGGCGGTGCCGGAGCAGCACCGCCGCAGCAATGGACTTCATCTGCAGGTAAGCCAAATCCTTCCCCAAACATATCCTTGGACCAGCATTGAATGCAACAAACTTGAAAGAGTCATGCGTGATGAACTTTTTCCCATCCGATGACAACCACCTCTCAGGTCTAAACTCCATGCAATCCTCACCCCACGTCGACTTCAACCTCCCTGCCGAATATATCGAATATGTCACCGACGATCCCGCCGGCACGAACGTGCCGTCCGGCAGCACGTCGTCGGCCACCACATGCTTTGAGTCCTCCGGCACCGAAGGGTACAACCTTAGTGTCTCCGACAATGCAGCCTTGAGATAAACCAAACGGTCAACTTCCTCGAAGGCCAAGGGCTCATCCAACCACTTAGCCACATCATCGCCACGTGTCTCTATCAAAACCATGCAAATTTCACGTAGAATTTTCTCTTCCACCTTTGGATTCTGAATCACCAACCAAAAGAACCAGCTCATTGCAACCGATGACGTGTCACGTCCAGCTAGGATAAAATTCAACGCCACGTGTTGGAGAAACTTGTCTGTGTAGGATTCCTTTTTCTTCATAAACCTGGTCAACAAGTCATCATGAAGAGTCCCATCTTTTTGCTGACTCAGCAACTCCACCTTGCGTTTCTCAATTACATTTGACAAATGTTCATCCACGTGGACTAGGCTTCGGCTCAAGCTGACTTCCATTCCCAGCCGAAGCCATTTCTTCATCTTCCACAACACCTCAGGCAAAATGAACCGCTGGAGCGAGGCTTCAGTGGCTCGGTCGAAAGCCGTGGCAAAGCAGTTATCGGGCAGATCCAACACACATGTCTGTGGGTCCTGCCCGAAAGCCAACCCACAAATATTATCAAAAGTGAGCCGAAGCATCAAGTCTTGAAGATCAACCGACTCAGCTTGATCGTCGGCCCTTTTGAGGATCAAGCAGAGCCGGTTGATGGCTCGGCTCACCCACCGACCCATTGCTTGGCGCAACGTCCGGGTGGTAAATTCCAAGGCAGCAGTCTTACGCTGGAAGAGCCACGTGTCACCATCAGAATTGAAGATCCCATCACCCAACAGATCATGAAAGACAGCATGCCACGTGGGGCCTTTGGGGTAATTGTCGAAGCGGGTCTTGAGTATGTGCTCCAAGTTCCTCGGGTCGCACGTGACTGTCACGAGACCCTGCTTCCTGGCGAGGAAGGGGATTGCACAGATGCAAGTTTGGTACGTGCCACCACACGCGCGTAGGTTGTCACAGATCCAGTCATGCATGCGGTCACAGTTGTCTATGAGGCCCGGCAGACTTCCCAATAAGGCCCAGACACGTGGACCCTTGAGCGACCGTGAGATGAACGTGAACCATATCAAGTATGCTGTGATCGCCGTTAAAAGCAACAGAGCCGTGCAAGTTTCCATCTTGCAACCACCCCACCCTAGATTCAAAGGCTCAACCCTACAAGAAACTTTAAGTAATAAAAAATGGTGTGCTTGAAAAAAATGAGAAAAAGGATACCTTTCAAGGATGGGTATGCATGAGCAGTATTTTGATGAAAAGGGGTGATTGCAAGAGAGTGAGTGCAAGAAAGGGAAATGGAGGAGTGAAGGAAAATGAAGAGGGTTATTATGTATATGTAAGAGAAGGGGTGTGAGTGAGTGTAGTACAATGAGGGTAGTGTGTTAAGGAGAAGAGAGATTTATAGGTGGAGTGGTTTAGTGAAGAGTTATTGTGGCCAGACTGGTTTATTGACAATGCACCACCATCTTCTCTCTCTTACTAAACTCATCAGATGCAGCAATATTAATGCTCTCTGAGAGGTTGTTGAAGCCTTTAAAGTTGAAGACACCCACCTGTCCCTCTTTCACTATTGAAGAAGAAACCACACTAGAGCTACTCACTCTCTTTCTTTCTTACAACAGGGTGTTCAAGTCAGGCAATGAATGAGGGGAAATAAATGAGGGTAGTTGAGGAACATGGAGAAGGGGAGAGCCAGGGAAAATGCACCAAGCAAGCAAACGTTTTGGGGTCACAACTCACAACTCACACACATACCTTTTTTCAGTAAATGGGGCTGTTTTTTACAAACCAAGGTGCTAGCTAGGTCATCTATATGTACACTACTTGTTCGAAGGGATAAAATGAGTAGGGTTTGCCAAGTGGGGTTTGGTTATGGTTTTGGTGAGCAACCTACCAACAATTTATAACATTTATGTGGTTGAACTGTCTTCTTATCCTGCGTCCATCCATTCTCTGCAAAATATAATAATTCAGTGAGAAAAAAATGAATGAATTGCTATGCATGCAAAACAACAACATGCAACAACATCGGCAATTCTAGGATTCATCACAGTCGCAGAGTTGACCTACCCTCATCATTTATGGTGGAATTTGAAATTTAGTAATAATAATAATAATAACGTGTGACTGTGCTGGTGTGAAGCGAAAGTCAAAGCTATATCCAGCTTAGCAATAATGCAAAACCGCTTGAGCACTCTGCAGAAACTTCAAACTTACTGCAACGTGTTCTTCATCCAGTATATAAAGTATTTTCTTTTTCTTCGGGTTTATTTTCACACTCTCAAGTGGAATACGTGTTGGCAAATTTATAGCTATACTGTTACTTAAGAAAGATAAGTGAAAAGAACACGAAAAAGAATAGAGGGTAGCCCAACTTAGATAACATTTAGTTGTTCTATATATAGAGTAAGATTCGTATTTTGTAAGCCATTAGTATATGTTCATTTGTTATTATTACTTTTTCATTTATTATTATATAATTTGAGAAATCTCATTGGAGCATTCATAAAATTATTGAGTGTGTACTAGCTTCAGTTATATTATTGTAAGTTGTATTATAATAACTTAAACATACTTAAGCTAGGGTTTTCAAGTTCAAGTCATCATACGCGGTTGTGATGAATATTAAAAAAAATTATTATTTACTATAGTCTTTTCTATTTGAACATGAACATTTCAGGGAAGGATATATGCAAAATTATAATTAAAATTATAAACTTTAGAATAATTGAAAATTATTTTCTTTATGAACATGATTTATGTAATATCTTAAAATCGATATCTAATAATTAATTTGTACTCTCGTAGGTGTCTTACACTAAATGATACTTTGATAGAACCAAGTGTACACATTAATTTACTTTTTTTAAAAAACTATATATTGATAAATTTAATCACATACATACACTAAAGGTGGTTTGAAGAATTAGCAAAAGGTGTGTTTAGGGTACGAATTGCAGAATTAGTCACAAACTTCACTCCATAAAGTAACAACACGGTTACACGAGTGAGTTATGGAGAGTTTAATGTTGAAGCTCTATGAGATTATATATAATTAATCTTATTCAATGTGCAATGCATGAGTTCAGCCATGTTGTAGAGTATATCTCCAAATTTTGGTATGACACGAGTATTATTGTCGTGAAGTTTAGCTTTAATATGGCAAGCAATTAATAAGTATTGTGTCAAATGCGGAAAGAAGGGTACAGAAATTGATGGATTGAGTAAAAGTTTAAGCGTTTGAACCTTGAAGAGCTAACCTTATCAGTTATCACCTCACGAGTGAAAGAAGTCAATAGAGTAATGAGGAAAAAGATAGAGACACCTCTGCTATGAAATTAATACATTTAAGGCTGTGACGGTGTCAATATGCTTCGCCGTTCAAGCTAAGAAATTAATGGGGGAATCGTTTCTATTTCTTGCAATGAGAAAAGCTTTATCAACTAAAGAAAGAATACCAATAAAAAAAAAAAAGGAAAATAGTTGGGAATCCAACTCCATTGGTTGTACTGCATGTGTATATAGCAAATCCACTTAATTAACTTGACCATGAATTGTAAAAACTATAACTTAAAGTTAACAATACCTCTCGTGGATTTAGATGACAAAATGATAAAACGGTGTGAGGAAGAGAACTATTACCAATTAGGAGTTGAGGTAATCCAAATTGATCAAATATTTGTAGCTAAATGGTAATTGTAATACCCATCATAAAACATATTTTCTTGTTAAAGTAAATAGTTAAATGTATATTTTGTAACAAGGTTTGAAGTTGTTTTACTATGCATGTCAAGGGGAAAGAAAGATAGGTTGGGGGAGGGGCTAGAAGAGTGTGCTGGGTGGGGTGGGGAAGTTAAGGGCTAAGCAGTTAGATGAGCACAACCTTAATTTCTTTCACACTTCTACATATGTTAACATCTAACCACTTTAGAAAGTGACTTTTATTTTAATCAGCGACATTTATATCAGTCTTACAATCAATAAAAAAATATTTATTTTAATCGATGTTAAATCTTTCTTTCACACTAGTATTTTCTTTTTTTATCAATTTGAATATCACGTTGGATATTTAATTAGCATAAGTTGATCATAATTGGATACAACTGCATTAATTTAATTAGTGTCAAAACTTTTCTTCTAAATTTTTAATATAACTAAGTTTTTTAGGGACTTGAATTTTCGATGGTTTAATTTCTAGGTTTATATGAAAAAAGTTTGTTAGAAAGATTATATTGTTATCCATCGCTCATTGTATTCATAGGTTAAAATTTGTCTCTAAAATAAGTTGCAAGGGATATTTGTTAGTTATTAATTATTTCTCTAATAAACCCAATAAATAAAGCTTAATTATAGTTGCTCTCATTTATATGTGTTTTTTTTTTCATATCAAATATCATAGGATATTTTTCTATGAAAGTCCATCTAATTCGTTGACCTATGCAATATCTTTGTCCATAGATTCACTATCTCTTCTAACCTTTTTGATATATATTTTCTCTGGTGTGGTGAGCTCTCTACCTTCCAAAAAGAGATTAATTGATTGAGAGTACTCTTTTAATATGACAAAAACTAAAAATTGAAACCTTTAGTGATGGTCTATGTATCTTTTAATTCAGATGTCAAGTTCGAATTTTGACATTAAATATATAATAGATTATGTTAGGACAAAAATATTTACTTTATGTGCATTTATGATTTTTAATGAAAATTAGTTATTATTTTCAATAATGAATATTTTGTATTAATATTATAATTATAAAAAAATAAAGAATAAATATACAATTTCTTTGGTGCAAACAATGAAAAAATAAAAATGAAATTACTGATCAAATTATAAGTTTCAAAAAAACATTTAACAATATTTGGCTAAAAAATATATTTTTAATCTTTGTAAAATAAATGGATTTTGATTTTAATTTCTATAAAGTTTTTTTCTCTCCTTGATTTCCATCATTAAAAAGAAACATTATTTGGTTCAGATTAATTATCATGTAACATTCATTAATATTTGTTCAAGTGTTTAACAAAAAGTCAAGTGGTCCCATTAGAATCCGTGGGCGGGTTCAAATCCCCCATGCTACACTTTTCCTTTTTGTGGATAACTGTCTTCAAGATGATCCCTTAATGTTTAAGGACTAGTTAAATAATTGTAATTGGATGAAACAACTTGAGATTAAGACTTAAACAATAATTCTACAGGTGAATCATTATTAGTGGTCTCAACATATCATTAACGTCTTGTATGATAGTTTTAAGAGTGTATTTTTGTTTAATCATTATTTATATATATATATATAAAATAATCAAAGCTAATTAGTACAATTAACTTCAAAAAGTCATATATGACGTTTAGAGGATTGGAGGCACAATTAAATATAGGTGGGATGCACTACTAGAATTTCTTATATTATATATATATATATTTTTTTTGTAAATTTTGTATTTAAATTTGCAGTAAACATTATTCCTACGAAATTTTAAAATTCGCAAGAAATTTTTTGCGAAAAAATTCGCAGGAAAATTTTCTGCAAAAAAAATTCACAGGAAACTTTCTTGCAAATTTTTTCACAAGAAATTTTATAGGAATATTTTTTACAAAAAAAATTAAAAGAAATTACTACAAATTCTATTAATAATTCTTTAACTTTCAAATGCTCACAATGAAATTCATCTAAAACTTTTGTTTCCAAACCTCCAACATATGATACATAATCTTTTAAACTCTAAGATTGTAGATTATAAGTCTAACACTTAACCATACAAATCAACTTGTAAGGTAAGTATTACCCCTAACTTATATACTCTTTAATTATTTTATTTTCAATCGATGTGAGACTTAATTTTTTTTAAAAATATTAAACCTATAAATTTAAATTTTTTTTTTTATTTTTCCTGCGAATTAAAATTGGCAGGAAAATCCGCAGGAAAAGTTACCTGCGAAATTTTTCTACCATTTAGTAAATTTTATTTGCGAATTTATGTTTGCAAGAAAATCTGCAAGAAACAAAATAAAATTCTTACAATATTTTTTGCAAATTTTTACCATGGAAAAAAATTTCTATGATAATTAAAATTGTAGCAAAATTTACAAAAATTTCTTGTAAATTATTTTTCATAATTTTTTTTAAGAAATATCTGTAAATTATTTTTTGCAAATAAATTCATAAAAAAAGTTGCAAAATTATTATTGCAAGAAAATTCGTAAAAAATTTCTGCAAATATTTTTTTGTAGGAAAATTCGCAGGAAAATGACATTTTTCTAGTAGTGACGGTAGTGATAATCCTCTCCTTTGTAACAAACATATATTTATATTAAAATAAGAGTTAATCACCTATACATCGTCAGTGTAAAAAAAATTTACACTGACAACCAATTATATATTTTAATTGTGTCATGTCACTATAAACATATTTACTTTTAAAAATAACATGATACAATTAAAATATATAATTGGTTGCCAGTATAAAAAAACATTTCACAGAGTGACAGTATACAGGTGATTAACTTTAAAAGTAAATATGTAAAAATCATCTTGGGCACATGCTTTGTTCGTCTTTTCTCTCTCGTTGTCAACGTTCCCTTTCCTTTTTCGTCTATACGATCTACGTTTATCTTCTCCTACTCTCCATTGCAACCACATTTTGGTCACTTAAGTTACTGTCACATTCTCACAACCAAAATCCTTCAACAATGATGTCATCTTAAGGTTTGAAAGACATAAATCTTGTATCAATATCGATTGCATTCTTGTGAGATTAATGAATTTTAATGTTCTCCCAACGCAAGTTGACATAAATAGTTAAAGGCTTGGACCAAATTTTCATATTTTTCATAGCTGTAGCTTTGAATTTCCCTATCACCCATTTTCCCGTGTAGTAGATAATTTTTTTAGGAATATCTCCTGACACCCTAGAGATTAGTTGAGTAATTACAATTGGATGAAACTGCGTTTTTTTAATAATTCTTTAGGTGGGTCTATGTTGGTATAACCACAACATCTCATTAGCACCTTGTTTATTATTATTGGGAGTGTCTTTCCATTTTATATTTTTTAAATAGAAAAATGCAATTAATGTTTATATTGATAGTAGTAACAGTTAATCTTTTTGAAAATTTATTAGAATGTTTAACTAAGAAAGTATATATTTAATTTGTTTGGTGTAAAATGATCGTATTGACATTACAATATGCATATTATTTCAACTTTGATTTGTGGGTAGATACTAGACTCTAGTTTTTTTTAGGAAGTATATACGTTGGTAATATGATTGGGAATATAATTATTGTAGGGATTATTGTAGGGAAACAATTTCATGCAAATAAGTTCAAATTAAAACCTA